ACAGAGCAAACTGGAAGTATGGCGTTTCAATAACATTCTGATTACATTTTTTCTATGTCTGTGATAATATAACAAATTATTCATCATCATCTCCTTTATCATATTTATGACAAAAATCTTCCAAAACATTAGCCTTACAGCAAGATGTAGTAAAAGTAAAGTATAACCCTCCATGTCTTTGCGCACGTCCACGGTCACAGCCAACTGTTTCCTGTTCCAGTAAGATTTAGCGCCAGCCCCACTGTGACCCCCACGGGCCCCGTGATCTGCACGCTAGAAGTCATCTCCGAAAAAAAGGGGGTGGGGTACTCGTATTCTTTCACTCAAGTTACATCCAGTCCCCACAGTTGTCCCCGTCTCTCTGACAGAGATATTTCATCTGATCATCACACGGCTTGTCGTTCCATGCTGTTCCCCCATTGCCAATAAACGTCACCATCAGGCAGTGCTCCTTGTTATCGCGGTTGCTCGGCTCGTTCTGGTTCCAGTCATCCACGGACAGACGTTTGCCGGACGTGACCCACGTCCAGATGCCCTCTTCGTCCTGGTCAGTGGCGCCGAGCCAGTAAAATGTCTTACCAGGGGCAGCAACCTGTTTCACGTATTCCAGGGAGACGTTGTCGTGGATCTCGGCCAGGAAGCCACCGAGAGACTCGCATTTCTTTCTCGCGTCTGCCCACGTAGTTTTCTCTTCAATCAATTTGTAACATTGGGTCTTTGTTTCAGGCCTAGTGGTCAGCTTACAGCCGTTTCTGTGAGAGCAGAGCTTAAGATTTCTTGCCGCCGTGATATCACCTTCCACCTTGGACACTTTCTCCTCCAGGTTGTCGATCTTTTCCTGCACGGCAGACAACTGGCCTCTAATGTTGGTGAACACCTGGTTTATAACGGTCAGTACATCAGCCTTGTCCGAACTTCGTGCCTTGTTGACGTCATCTGACACTTTCTCCTCCAGGTTGTCGACCATTTGCTGCACGGCTCTAATGTTGGAGGACACCTGGTTTATAGCGGTCAGTACATCAGCCCTGTCTGCACGCGCAGTGTGAACAATGATGACAACGGCAGCAGACGACACGAGAAGCGAGGTAACAATGACACAAATCCATTTCAGAATGTACAGTTTCTTGTATTTGTGAATGGATTGTCCATCTTGTGGCCGAGGTGGGACATTGCCTCGCACATCCATCATGCCACGAAACAATAAAATTCCTCACCGCAGTCAACTGGCGTCAACAAGAAATAAATTATTTCCGGCGATAAAGTAATACTGAATTTTTTAAATAGCCTTTCTCAAACACTCTCTCGGACTCGCGAGGAAGCGGTCAGTAATGCTGGACTGTTTTTTCTCTGCTCCTTCCCACAGACAGGAAAGTGAATAAATGACAGAGAGAGAGTAACGGAGAGAGAGAGAGAGAGAGAGAGAGAGGCGGACAGAGAACTGATATCGCCACCACTGTGGGATGTTGTCTGGCTTAGCCCTGCGGCGGGCTGTTCTTATAGTGGTCACTCACCCCTCGCCCCTACACCTACACCCACCCCCCCATTAACACACACTCGCTTACGTACTCACCCACACGCTCACCCATACAGTGACCCATACACTCACACACTAATTCTCTCAAAAATTTCTTTGAGCAAATACCCTTAGCCATAAAGAGTCC